GTGCACCTCTGGCTCCGGGCAGTCTCTGCTTCCCACCACCTGTAGGGCCCTGCTTCCCACCACCTGTAGGGGCCTGCCTGTCTCCCGGGAGCTGAGCCGCCTGGGACTGGTGCAGAAGCCTGGCCAATCTCAGGTCTCAGCTGGTGCAGGAGGACGACAGTGGGGGGCCTTGGCTGGGCCTCTCCCGGCAAGTGGGTCCTCAGGGAGCCCAGTCGGGGCAGGCCCTGGCCTGGCTGATCGTGCCACTCTCAAGGGGCCGGAGCGATTTCCCCACCCTGGGACCAGCCCTGGCTGCGCTGCCAGCTCAGCCTGGCAGACAGTCACCTCCCAGTAGGGCCGCTGAGTGTGGCTGGGAGGCAGGGCTTGGGGAACTGGGTCTCTTAGGTGTCGGGGGAGGGGGGGAGGGGGTGCTGGGCTGTGAGGGAGTGGTGAAGATGTGTGTGTTGGGGCACTAGGGAGTGGGGGTTCTGTGGGGGGTGCTGGGCAGTTGTGGTGGGGTTGTGGGCAGGGGTGGTGTTGGGCAGGGCGCTATGGATTTGTGGAGGGGTCTGGGGTGGGTGCTGGGCATACTGGGTCCATGGGGGCTCTGGCTATAGGGAGTCAGGGGGTGGGGGGGCTGTGTGGCACAACATGGGCCCACCCCCCCCCCCAAGGGGAAGGGGCATGCTGGCAGCACAGGGCCACTGTGCATCGGGCAACTGCCAGTTTGTAAATAGTGCCCTTGCACTAGGCTGAGCAGAGTGGGACGGCCCCTGCCCTGCCCCATTGTCCCTGGCTGTCCCCTTGCTCTGTGGACTGACCTCCACCCGCCATGCTCCATTGCCTCCATGGAGGCCCACAAATTTTTGGCGCTGGGCACACAAAAGGTTAATCCGGCCCTGTTGTGAGTTAGGGTTTACAGCTGCAGACCAGCTGTGGGACAGTGGAGGTTCCCCTCCTCTCCCTCCATTTCCCATATTCTGCCATTGCAGAATCAAGAGATTTTTCCTGCATGCAAGGTTGTTGGGGAGGGGCCTCATCTCTGTTCCTGGCTCCTTTTCTCACTGTGTTTTGGACACCGGGAACATGCAAAGGGACAGCCTCGGGATCAGGGATCAGGGATCAGTAGAGCTCTGCAACTTCTCACGGCGGGCCGTGTCTGCATGCAAAGGCTGCAGCGCATTAACTGGCCCGGTTAATGGAAGCAGCACAATCCCCGGGGCAGATTCATGATTCCAAGGCCAGAAGGGACCATGGTGACCCTGGTCTGACCCCCAGAGACCAGCCCACAATAATCCCTACAGCTGAGTTCTAAGAAAAATAGCCAATTGTGATTTAAAAATTGCCTGTGGTGGAGAACCCACCACAGCCCTTGGTAAAGGGTTCCCATTGTTCATTATGCTCATGATTAAAAATGTACCCCTTCTTTTCAGTCTGAATGTGCCTAGCATCAACTGGCAGCCATTGAGCTGTGTTACACTTTTCTGTCCTAGACTGAACAGCCCATTGTGAAATATTTGTTCCCTATGAAGGTACTTTTATAGACTGATCAAGTCAGCCCTTCACCTTCTCTTTGCTAAGCTACTCAAGGAGATCAAGCACTATAAGGCAGGCTTTTGAATCCTTTAATCTTTCTCATGGGCCTTCTCTAATTTAACAACTTTCTTGAATTGTGGACACCGGAACTGGACCCAGGATTCCACCAGCAGTGCCAAAAACAGAGATTAAAATAACCTCTCTGCTCCTACTAGAGATTCCTGTATGCATCCCAGGGTCACATTAGCCCTTTTAACCAGTGGCACACCGGGAGCTCACATTCAGCTGATTATCTGCCACACCCACCCAATCTTGCTGAGTCTCTGCTACCCAGGATCAAGTCCCCCATGCTTTAAGGAGGGCCTGCATTCTTTGTTTCTAGATGCATGCATTTACATTTAGCCATATTAAAACACAGTGTTTGCTTGCACCCAGCTTACGGAGCAATGCAGATCATTCTGTATCAGTGACTGGATGCAGTTACACTGGTTTAAGAGGCTGAGGCCTGTATAGATTAATTCTGAATGGGAAGGCCGGTGCTCATCTCTGTGGAAGCTGGTAGTCCCTGGCATTTCCTTCCCGTCCTGACCCTTCCTTCCAGTCCAGGGCCTGGAACATTTTGTTGCCAATATTCCTATGGTTGATGCCATTTTTACTGGGCTGCTCACGCGTGCATACGTGAATAGGCTACACAGGAATAAAGCTCCTTGGGCCTAGCATAGCTGTATCCATACTAGGGGCTTGTGTTGCTTTAACTATAGTGGGGGGG